ACTAGAGAGAAAACCCCAATTATACTCCTTACAATTATTCATCTGATACATTTGAGTAAAAAATGATACAAATAAATAAAAATCCTAACTCTGTATGACTTACAGGAAAAAGAAGAAAATCTTAACTAAATATCTGTTAAGGGTATGATAGGGATAAACAAAGTCCATTATCTACCTGCATTCCTATCTACTCATTTACTGATTTACTTCTCCTCTCATCTCCTGGGTTTGTCACATGATGATTATGCATTCACTCTCTTAACTTGACCATCTTCATCTTTATGGTTTGATGATACAATCTTTGGGAGGTATCTATCATCCTATATATTACTTACTGAGATTAAACCTAAGGCAATATTTAGAAATTTAGAAAAATATTTCCAGAAACTATCATTAGCAGGGAGGGAGCAAGTGAAAAGTTTTGTAGTCCCTTGAAAATGTGGCTCAACCAAGATCTCATTCCTTTGACACTATCTTGTTTGATTTCTATTTAAATATAGTTTTACCCTAATCAGTTTTCCAAGGAGTGAAATAAAATTGTTTATAGAAGAAAAGGTCTTTTGTAAGCAAGATGCTTAAGAAGAAGCCTGTGAACGGGAGGGACAGTAACCCCTCAGCTTGGTGGTATGTTCCAGACAATAAACTGTACATATCAACCCGGTTCACCCTGGGATTGTGTCATATCATTGATTAAATGTAGCCTGTACATAAGGCTGGACAAAAGGAAAGGGTAAGATGTCACTGGAAGGGTATTACTTATCCTTAAAAACCTGAAACCTCCCTTCAGAATTAAGTTTGGGATCTGTGTTTATAGGCTGTTTTTGCCCCCACCTAGAGCGCAGGGGGAACCAATGTGATGGTGGCCAAAATTTAACTTGGATGGCTGCAGTTCAGGGGCTGTATCATTTAACTCTTTAGGAAGTTCAAGAAAATTCAGTTAATAAGGAGAAACCTTCAGAAAATGAATTGTTTCAGAACGTGCTTGGTTTGGTCCTGATTTAAAATGAGAAGAGGAATCTTGATTAATCAAGGAACACCTGAGTCTACTCATCTTTAGAACACAGATCCCTCTCTTTTACCATTTTCTCTGGGTTGCTCTCTTTTCACATTCTCTATCCCTCTCACTTCCCTCTCCTTATCTTCAATGCCCCCTTTCATTCTCTGTTCTTCTCTAACCTGCTCTTTCCTATCTTGCCATTCTTTCTGGCTTTTACCTTTTCCCCTCCTCCTACCATTTTATTCCTCTGTACTGACCAGGCTTTAGGCTAAAGCCTTTCAAAAACATTCTTTAGTTCCTGGTTGCAAGGGAGAAGTAGCCCTCTACACCTTGCCCTCAAAAAAAGAGACTTTTAAATGAGAATGAATTCCACAACTTCTGAGAATTTTGATTTGTATTTTCTGGCTACTGATTATTTAAATTCAAGTCCATTTCAAGTTTCCTTCATTAACTTTGTATTTAAAATATGAACATGGCCAAATTATTGTTCTCTTTTGTTCTTGAATAGAGGACATTACATCATTAGAATTCCACACATTGTATTCTTTTTCATCTCTCCTATCTAGAAAGAAAGAGAGAAAAAAAGAGAGAAAGAAAGAAAAGAAAAAAGAAAATGAAAAAGAAAAAGAAAAAAAGAAAAAGAAAAAAAGAGTCCCTTCCTGGATATCTCTCTTTACATTACCCTTTCATTTTCACCTTCTCAGGATTGCTCTCTGGGCTCTGAAAAGGTAGACAATCTACAAAGTGGTTTCTATCAACTAGATGAACCAAGTTAATATATTTTGTTTCTTAGTTATTGGACCCAGAGTATATATCTCCAAAGAGTATTGCTATGCCTTCGGGTGGCAGTATGTTTTTCTGAAAAACAGGTCATGATGAATTTGCACATAAAGAGTTTCTTCCAGTAGTTTCGAGTCTCAGCTTATCATATTTCTATACCTTCTGAGGACATTCAGAACAAAATATCCCTGCCTTCTGCATAACATTATTCTCAAAAAACAAAAACAAAAACAAAAACAGACTTTTGTCATAATAGAGAAGAGAGTGGGCCCATTTCTCTCATAAGAGAAGATCAACTCAGTGGTGATCATGAAGCAATTAAAAGGAAACTTTTACCCTCTTATAAACTAATAATAATATTTCAAGTATTTGCTCTAGATGGGCTTTTCATCTATGAAAATAGATAAAAAAGAAAATGGATCTTGTAACAACAACAACAACAACAATAAGAAAGGTCCATTTCTGCAATGGAGATCTACTGGAATGTATATCATACTTCAGAGAAATCTATGGTAAAGAAATGAAATTAAATAACTACAGAGAAATATTTATTCATTAATTTCAGTTTATAGCACTCAGAAAGCATTGTGGTAATATTTTTCTAATTCTATAGCTGATAATGCTTCGGAAAATTTCTAAAAACTGTATTTAATATTTTAAGGTATAGTTTTCTAAAGATTGAGAGACATTCTCAAAATGTACATAAAAGTACTGATGACTCTGGAGATACATATAATAAACATGTTCGTATATCCCTTAAGGTTATAAGATGCACTCCAAAAAAAATTTAATGAAAATTAAGTTAGTATTAAAGCTTCCTCATAACTGTCAAATTTATCAGATTTAATTGTAGTACATCCCAGGATGATACGTAAAATAGAAACAGAGGTAAATATTTGAGCTACTTTTTAATTTGTTTTGTCTACCATATCCTCAAAATCAATGTTTCTAGGAGTCACAGATAACAGATAAGTCATCTTTAGCAAAGATTAAAGCACACCATTCCTTTAAATTTTCTTGAGCCCTTGAATTATTTATTATTATAGCACATTATATCCATTTCAATTTAAAAGAATATACTTTGACTATAATTGGCCAACTATTTCTGTTCTTTAAACACATGTCTATTTTTTCTTACTTGGGGGGATTAAATAGATATTAAAAGTAGATTCTACAAAAACAGTAATGTTACAGGTTCAATCAATGCAGTTGTTTCTGTTAACATATCTAGCAATATCTCATTTCTTGAAAATTAGCTTTTCAATTCATTCTTAGCCTACATTATACATCCCCAAGTTCTATGGCTCTCTATGGTCCAGGTATGCAGATAAAAAGTAGGTGAAATGCTTCCTGTTTACACTCTATTTGATTAAAGAGTTAACATACACATTTATTTAAGAATTATTATATATAATTAAATGTCAAGGAGCAGTTCTGGGTTTGTTACTTACACTCCAAACAAGACAGTTGATCATTAAAGTTATGTGCCTGGGTGTGTGTGTGTGTGTGTTTAAAATTCTTCAACAAACTGAAAATTATGTAGAAAGCTTATAGAGGTTACTCATATTCACATGTTAAAGTATTAAAAGAGATTTCCTAAACTAGAATGGAAACAGTGTTTCCTAGATGCATTATAAAATTCTGTTGATTAGTAAGGACTGATATCATGGAGTAGGAAGTAAAGGAATCAGATGCATGCCAATTAGTACTTTGGAAAGCCTTACTTTTTTAAAAGTTGTATCACTATCCTGTTTCTTCCTTTTGTACATTCCTTCCCTACTTGAAATCTTTGCAACTTATTTCAAATTCTGTGAATTAAGAACAATTCTCTTGAAGCCAGTTTAAACATTTAGATATATACAAATATCATTGCAATACATCATATACCCAATTATGCATTCCATTTAATGACCAAAACATTGTTCCTTGAGACTTTTTTTTCTCAGAATGTAGTAAAGGAACACTAGGTGGAATTCAAACCTGAAGGAATTTGTATAGCATGTCCAAGAATGGACGTTTGAAATTGACAAGAAAGGACACCTGGTAAGGCCTCTGATGTATATTTGAATTGTGTCTTTGACAAAGCAGTTCCTCTTAAACCTCTGAGACACTAATGGTGTTTGTTAGCCTCAAAACAGACCTATTATCCACATCCATGTGATTACACTACTCTCTCTCTCTCTCTCTCTATATATATATATATATATATATAAAGACTAAATTCATGTTACCATTCAGTTTTAAAATCAAAATTTGGATTCCCAAGCTTCTTATTTTTTGTATATATTTACCTCAGTGAAGGAGAGATGACTTTCTTAATATTGCCATTTAATTGGAATTTAAATATTGCTATCAAATAGTTTTAAACAAATGCTTCAGAGAAGGTGCAGCATTATCTACAGTTGGGAATCATAGATTCTCACCTTGATTTCCTGTGTGACTTTAAACAATAATTTATTTCCTTGTTTCCCTTGTTTTAGTCTGAGATCAATATTTTGTTTTGGCTTCATTAGTCTCTGCTTAACTAAATAAGATTAGTGGATTATCTTATTCAAAGTTTATTCAAATATGTGAGTAATATCTAGCACTATTTATTCTTATTGTAATAAATATTGTATTATTTAGCGCTTTTTTCTTCCTAAGTAGAAATCCATTAGTATAATTGGTATACAAAGAAAAACAAATTTTTACTATAGAAAATTAGGGTTTAAGTTCAAATGCATGGTTAAAAAAATTACCATCTATCGCATTCACCTTTTATCCCAGAGTTGGTACTAATCTAATGCAAAACAGTGGATCAATACATAAAATTCAAAATAAATGTTTAGAGCATTAGGCTCAGAGATAATCTATTTGAATTCAGTGTAAACAGAGCAATGCCAAATGAAGTAGATGTACTCTTTGGGCTAGCAGGGAGAATATTAACTTCATTTTTTCCCCGGATAATAAAATCATTACACAGAAAACATTACGATTTCCAAGTAAATGTAACATTTTTTAATGCAATTATGAAATGTTTATATCTGCCTTTTTCTACATATAGGTATGTGCACAGAAATACCATAGTAAATTGAACTAACATTGAGCAATCTATTAAAAATAGGATTAGTCCTTAAACTACATGCTACTATTCTTACTACTTTACATTTACAAGGAAAGCAAGGCTTCATTAGTAAAGATTTGATACTGTTCTCTAAAATAAAAACACAATAACGCAACCCACCTCCCAATCCTGGTCTCAGACGATTGTCATAACCATCTAGGAGTCGGTCCAAAATTCTGGTGAAGACAGTAGTGTTGTCTTTAAGTTCATCTTGTAATGAGGGTTGTCCATAGCTGAAAAAGATATAAAGGCAGGTAATAATCTAAATTACATAATTCTATTAAAACCTTTTTCCCAAATAAAGCTTTCCCTAGATTTTCCTATCTTCTTTCCTATTGAATCTTAATTTGAAAATTCCTTCCGGCAAAGTTAAAAAAAAAAAGTCATATTTTAATTTTTACCATTTTCTCATACTTGTTATCACACATGATAAACTCTTTATTCTAATTTTCTAACTATGGAAGGAAAATTATAGGAAATGAGTTCTGTCTCTTTGCCCGTATAAATCTCAGCATGTATACAATGCTATAATGCATGTTTCCCTGGGCAAGAAGGTTAATGCATGCTAAGGAGAAATAAAAAAAATCTGGCAAACTTCTTCCAAAAATAAAAACACAAAACGTATTCATGAGCTATCAAATTAGTAGTTTTGCTTTCATTTAATGTAACGTATAGCATTAGCCTAAGATTTCACCTACCAACATTTACTTCTTTCATCCACTTTATATATATATAGATATAGATATAGAGGTAGAAATATCTACATATATCTGTATTTATTCTTTTGATGTTCTTTTAGGATATTTAGATGAGAAAAAAAGTTAAAACGTGTTTCTTAGGATAATTATAGTTTCAAATCAGTGTGTAATTTCCATTCCCCTTGAGTTTTATGAACTGATTTCTACAATGTGCCTAATTCAAATCTCTAATTAAATGAGTTTTTGTCATTTCTGTCTTAAAGTAAAAGATACCTTGGAAAAGATATGGTCCAATATTCTTAATTTATGGTTTATTGAACTGTAGTGTCGGATTAGTGTTTTAAGAAAACATAGCAATCTGTGAGCAGAGCTTGAACAAGAACCCTGTTTTCTTCAACTTTTAGTCTAAAACTTTAGTTCTATTCTTCTATAATGGATTAATTGTTTCTATTTAAATCTTTCTAGCTTCAGGTATCATTTCTACCCCTTATCATTACTAGTCTTTGAGTTTCAACCACATAGTGACCATAGTTCAAATACTGCGCATTTCTTATAACAATCACATTATCATTTATGGTTGTTGAATCATACTTTATGTAATGATTAGGATGACACCTCCAAAATCCTTTGAGAGAAGTTTTTTTATCTCAGTGGATCACACTCACTGATACATTTCAATGACAGTTCTGACCTTGAGTTAAAAAAAAAAAATGGAGAGTGTAAACTAAGAAACGCCACAAAAATATCACTTTCATACTCTGTTTAATATGCTTTTGGCTTCACTCTTGTGTGTTTGTATTACTGATCAATGAAAAAAACAGTAACATCCGAAACCAGGATTCACTTATTTGACAGGAGTAAGAAATATAAAGAAAGTATCATTTCAAAAACAAACATTATTTTTAAAAAGGTAAGTAGTTTTATATCGTCAAAATTCAATGGCCATTTTTCTGATAAAATTTTAATTTAATAATTAAAACTATTATAACTAAAGGCTCTTCATGATGCTAAATATATGAAATTCAACTGCATGGAACAATTTCCCATTCTCCTAAATTCAACATTAATACCATACAGCTTGACAGTTTATTCTCCCTTGGCAAAATTAAACATCTTACTAGTTTTTGAAATCAAATTTTCCAGGATGTCTCATTAGCAGATGATACCAGTAAAGCAAAAATAGTTGTCTAAATGTAATTACTTATAAAAAGTCTTCACAAAACGAACTGTCACACATGCATGCATCTTTCAAGGATATTGAAGGTCATCTTGATAAAGGTGGAAAAGAAATGCTAGTCCACTTTAAATTGTGAGGAGGGCCTGATCAAGTAGTCTAAGGAAGAAAGCAGCAAAATAAGAAGGTTAAAGATGAGATGGGGTAAGGGACAGAGCACAATTAGATTCTGGATACAATTCCTAGAATATGCAGTTGTCTATTACCTTTTCCTGCATTTTTTTGTGTGTTGAGGCGTATACTAAATTCAGGAAAAACTTTCATCCCTGGTTTTATCTTATAAGTGCCATTTCCACCAATTGTATACATCAGAATGCAAATGCCAAAGGAGACGTTTCCATCCCTCCCAGAAAACTAGTTCTGCTATCCCAGCTGGAATAGTACCTTATTTCCTGTGATTTTCTAATGAGGGTATTTTTCATCTCCACTTCTAATTTACTATGTCCAGTTATAACTGTCAAAGAATAACCCCAGAATAGAGATCAAGATTGTTTATTGCTCTTAAACACTTATGCCAATGTAAGGTTTCCTAAACAGAATATATAATTTGAAGAGAAATGTCAGTTACAGTACCTGATTTTGATTCCGAATGAACCACTCTATAATAAAATACTGTGCACTATCTCCATCTACAGGTCATTACAATAGTAACACTTCATATAATTTTTCAAAAGAAATGGAAAACATTTAACTCCTCGGATTAAGAGTATCTGGCAATAGTGGATCTCCTCTTTATCTGATAGTCATTACTTACCACACACAATAGCAAATAATAAAAACAGACGTCTTAATTAAAAAAAAATTTCCTAAATTCACATCTTTCCAGATCATTCCTTCTCTCTACCTTAACTTTTTAAGAGTTTACCTTCCATTACATCTCGAAGAACCTTGGGTTTTTATGTCTAAGACTGTCTTAAGGGCCACAGGAGTATACCATGCAAGAAGTATAAAAGCAGATAAAGAAGAATCTGAAATTTTTGGTCACTTACATCACTGCTACTACAATATGTTTATATGCTTGATTTGATCATCAGCAAATTTTCAAATATGGTTAAACATACGTTTAAATTTTTCTCATAACTTTTCCCACAGTAGTCACGCTTAATTAGAGAAGTTCAATTTTATGTAATGTTCTTAAATATTCGTTTAGTATATTCTACCTCTATTGATTATACAAAGAATGGTTTCAAAACATAATATGCACACATATTTATAGAGACTTAGGACTTTCAAATTACAAATATTATTTTAAACTTTCCATTTTCATGCAGTCACAAGTTACTCTATGATCTTTACAGCTGGCTAGAAATTTTCTTGTTGGAAAATCAACTCACAGAGTATGCAGACATTAATTGGGGTAACTTTCTCTATGAATTAGGAAACTACATATTTCATTCAGTTACAACTGAACAGTGAGAAGTTCAATTTAAGACTTAAATGTTGAATTAATACATTCCTTTAACAAAAGCGTGTTAAGTGTATTCTAACCATCATGCAAATAAGATGGCTATTTTTTCATACTGCTCTTCTTTATTCTTAGTTGGGATTTTATTGCTGTTAAGTTTTTTGAATTCCCTTAGTCATGAATTTCATCCAAGGACAATTTTCTTCCCCCTGAAAGAATAAATGAAAAGTTACAAAAATTATCATGCGGATCTAAAATAAAGTGCCCCCACCTTCTTCCAGTCAATGTGCTCAGAAGGAGGGTCCAGGCCCAAAGATACTCAGAGAGACCCGGACTTTTCTTCATTGCGGGCTTGTGCAGCTGAAAAGTAGAACAAGCAGAGATCAATGTCTCTTGCAAGAAACATCAGGTTATAACCACTAGGGCTGACTGAGGCAGTTCAGATGAATGCTTTGAAGTCAGGAAATGACCTCACTGGGATATGACACCTCATTGGAAGCAATGGAAACCTGGACCATCCATTCTCCACTATCCCTTCCATTTCTCCATTCAGAAATATATCAGTGTCTTAATTTCTCCTGTAAAAGAATACAAATTGAAATGCTTTCAAGTGCCAATACTGCCCAACATAAAAACTGTTTTTTTTTTCCTTTAGGTTTTATATTTCCAATATAGTGTGAATTACTCTCTTCCTGTTTTTTATGATCTGAAAATATTGACCTTTCTGATTGGAGTTTCCACGCCTGAACTGTGAATTGAAATTTTTAAGCTGGTGTCTGTAACGGGGAGAAATGTTTTGGAGCTGAGATGGGGTAGGTTAGTATGCTTCAATGACTGAATTCATCTTTGAATTCTGGATGCACCTTGATTTCAGAAGCAACTGTATTTATCTTAAAAAAAAAAAAAAAAAAGAAAAGAAACACACTGTTGAATGCCGAAGTCGTGCTTATGTTCTCTGCCTGTGATTGCCTTATTAAATATGCTCACTAATGCTTCTGTGAGGCTAAAGGACATACTTTACAGTCAAACCATGTGCTGATCTCTCTCATACACACAAACCACACTCACATAAATGCATACAAACATGCCCACACATATCTTTTAAGCCCTCTTGAATTCTGCCAGGTTGCTGCTAGAAAATGTTTCATCTCAAACAGATGGAAGCTGGAGTGCTTTGCTTTACATGAATACGGGAATCTTTTTTCCCTCTTAGGTAAAGTGCAATCAATCACCATCTGATTGTTGAATTTTAGACTTGATAGTGGGATGCTGGAGGAAAGGAGGAGTATGGAAAGCTTAAATATTTCAAAAAATTATGATCTATTTGTGGAGTCAATTTTTAAAAATCAGTGCACTACCTGGATAAGGAGCAGATATGGTAACACTTTATTTCATGTGTCATAATTAAAGGCAGTTATAACATGAGAATGTTAAAGGTATTTATTAGCACTTCCCTGAATCTATACTCCTTAGTATAGACAGTGATTAATGGATTGCATGTCTTTTAAAGCATGTTTTTCATTAACCACTCTATGGTTTAATGTGGTATGTCTTTAAGTACATCTACACAAATGCTTTCCACACTCTTGGGGATCATTTATATCAGTAAAAACCATTACAAACAGGCATGTAAGCAATGAAACATAATTAATGTGTTTGGAGTAAAATGGTCTAGATCTACAGAAAAGAGCTGTGAGCTTCATAGTTTTTACTTAATTTAGTCACTGGTTTTGGCACGGACGAGAAGAAATATTGGATAAATATCATTATGTTAAAATACTGCATCTAAATTGCACATTTATAATTCACCCTTGCATTAATCTTCAACATGTTATGAAAGAAAAGCAACTTCTCTTGCCCTATTAATAATTATTGGTCTTTATAAAAAAGGGGGGGTATTCCCAAAGGGGTAAATGAAACAAAATCCCAGGACAAGGTACCATAGCTTTTTGTCCTCCTCTGGCATTTTAAAGAGAAAAACAAACCTATCATGGTGCTCGAGTTGTTGAGTAAGAAAGTTTCTTGCAAATACAAACATAATAGTTTAAAAGAAATGCTAAGCTGCTTCCTTACCCTTTTCCACCTTCCCCCACCAAACGCACACCCTCCAAACACCCATATCCCATGCCACTCATATCAAATGGTAAGTTGAGTTTTTCATGTTCAGAACCAGAGAGACCCCTACACCAGAGGGCATTTTAGCAGCGTCCCCTGGAAAGGAGAAAAGAGGCATTTTTGCAGACAGAATGTGAGAGTGCCTTCCATAGGACAGAACACTAAGACAGGTTTTCTGTCCCAGCGTCTTAACTTTAGATGATGCCCCCCAAAGCCCCTCCCCAGCTCATCCCAGCACGCTCTTGGAAAAAAAAAAAAAAAAATCAAAACAACATGTCACCACCCACCCCACGGAATAAATTCATATCTGCCTAAGAAAGAGAGAAAGAAAAGAAGAGATACAGAGGGGCAAAAATAATGCTTCTCTATCGCTGCGGTTTTCACCCTGAAAGAAAAACATTCGTTGTTTCTACCTGCTATGGGATCGGGCTCTTGTCCTGTTCCTCTTTCTCTTTTTTCTCCAGCATTCCTGTCTCTCCAGCTAGGAAAAGCAGCGTTCAAAGCTCAGTGTGTAGCGGTCTGAAGCCGCACTTACCTCGGGCCCCCTCTGGGCACAGGATCGCTCAAGACCCGGGAAAAGTGTGCGAGAGAAAATCGCGGAGAGCCTGGAACCAGCGCGAGTCCGCGAGTCCGGGCGCGCCGCGAGCGGAGGGGCGTCCTCGCTCTGCCTCTCACTCACTCGGTCTGAGCCATCATGGACTCTGTGTGCTCCTTTGCTGAAGATTTCACACCCAAATTTGCTTCCCAGTATCCGATCTGCAGCTATACAACAAAAGATTTCTCTTTACCAAGACAGTAGTAATACGTCCCAGGGCAAACCGGATGTGAAATAGGCGGTGACTTCATGCCAGAGAGATTTTATTTTAGAAAGGAAGGTGGTACCAGCCTCTGGATCTGGAGACCAATCCGCCCATTTTTTATATGCAGCACAATTTAACTTGCACCGCTCTGGCCCTAATCCCCTTCTCTCTGGCTGCAGACTCAAATCCTTCTACAATCTGCTGCAAGCTTTCCTTTTTTTTTTTTTTTTTTTTTTTTTTTTGGTGGGGAGTAGAAATGGGGGAGCAAAGGGTAGACAGGGTTAGAGACCCAGGGACTCTACTCAGAACCTTTTCATACTTTCAATTTATGAACACTATTTTAAGGTGTGCCCATTAAAAAAAAAAAAAAACTCATCAGTGTAACTAATCCTTTGATCAAAGATTCAACCACTGCATGCATATGAATGAATGCAGGGAGCTGCAGGGTTGCACATGTGGAAAGCCACCGTCCTCTCGCCTGTCTCCCTCACACGCACTCCCACACACATGTCTGAGTCCCTGTGTCTTGCGGAGTCACGAATAATGAGGGATGGCGGGGAAGAGTTCTGGCCAGGAGGGAACTGGCCACCGGGTTTCGAGGCTTTCGCACTTTCACAGGTTGTGAGCGCTTTTCACCCCACCTTCGTCTGCAGCTTAGAGGGCAGCAATAAACGCTCTCCGGAACCGCGTTTTTAATCTCTGGGGGCAACCGTTTGTCTGTTTACGTTATGAAGGAGAACACACGGGCTTCTTTAAGTAAGAATTGTGCTGGGTCCCTAGGACGAGGAGTATTTAACTTTAAATAAAGCACCCAGATCATTTCTAGGTTTGAGAGTCATAGCTCCATTTCCGGAATCATTCCCTCGCCTCGAACTCCATCCATCATCCTCCGGATTAGGAAAATGGGAGAGGGGGAGGAGAGAAGATTAACAAAAAGATTTTTAGAAGTCAAGACAAAACCGTCTTCTACTTTTTTTTTTTTTTTTCCTCCTCCCTGCCCTCTTCTGTTACCCTCCCTGGTGGCTCTCCACCCACGAATAAACTATACACTTAGGGAAGGAGGGTGTATTTCAACATCAATCTAACTAAAATTTCAACGAGCCAGGGGCGACTGAGTTCTATCTTCGGATTTTGTGAATGGGTGTTTGTAGCACAGAAGAAATGGGTGTTTCTGAAATGACCCGAAGCTCTGGAAACTGTCCCTTCTGTACTTGCGCTAGACTAGATAGGAGGCGCTGAAAAGATAGGGTGCCTTCAGGTATTTCTTCTGGTGAGGAAGGTCCGACCTTTGAGCTCCCTAGTCATTTTGACGACGAAGACTTCTAGCAGAGGAGACTTTTTTTTTTTTTTTTTTAAATAGGGGCGGAGCTTGGCAAGGAGAAGAAAAAAACCCTAAATGGCAAGTCTATACCACTCACTGGTTTTTGATGCTGGAAGCCTTCCTTGACGTTGTGCTGCAATGTAATCAGCTTAGGTGGTTAAAACATAGGACAGGTAATTGAAAATAAACTTATCTTATTGAAAAAATGAAGGAAAATAAAAATGATGACCACATTCAGATTTGGGCTTGGTTATCATGAGTTTTAAAAGGGAAATGTTACTGGGAAATTATTTTAGAAATAAATCTTCAAGAAAGAGAGATTTAAAGACCATCTTATGTTGCCTACTCTGTTCAGATAGGACAAAGATCAATGCATTCTTAAAGATATCCATTGAGGATCATCATATCTTCCTTATATGAGAGTCCTCAATTTTTATTTACTTATGTACTTATCCATTAATCACTTACTTCTTGAGCAGTTCTGAGAATTAAAACTCACTTCAGCGATATTCTGAAACCCTGGGTTAACAATTTAAAAATACTGTTTTCTTATCTGACCATTTAAAATGCAATTCCATTGTTTTCCTTTGATTCAACAAAGACTATTCAATAAAGACTATTTCTAGATAGTCCTAGAAATGTAATCTTTTCATCTTTTTTCCTCCTGGTAAAACTGTCACAGCTCCTTGTACTCTCCTCCGCAAATGAAATAACTTTATATCCTCTATCTAATGCCATACAATCAAATCACTCTACTGATTATGTTTTTTCCAATCAGTTACTGAAACGTTATCATTCGCACCATAATCTCTGAAAACAATGCCAATCACATCTTTCTTCAGATTAAATATTATGTGACTATCCAATAGGATGCAACTGCACAGCATTTCCATACATTTTAAGACAAATATTTAGAAATAAGATTGTATTTATCTTAAAACTACAGTTAAAACTACAGGAATGGAAAAGTCCATACTATGATTTTCTAAGTAAAACAAGGCAGTTTTTACTAGCTGATCTGTGTATGATTTGTTTTAAGACATATGTTTTAAATAAATGAATTTAATAAATAGTGGCCATGTAAAACATTGATAATTTGACTACTCCAAAAACAGCAATTGCAACTTTAAATTATCCGTGTATTTATTATTTCCCATCAAGGTATCATTAACATATGCACATATTACCAACAAATAAATATAAGAAAAATATAAATTAATGACAAGGAGATAATTACTTTATATTGTCTTGTTATATTGAATCTTTTAGATCATTGGTGACACTCTTGTTTTTTCCTCTACCTAGGGGAATAAATTCCTTCAAACTGTGTGTGCAACTTATATCTGATTGAAGTAACTTTTTATAATAGTAGTAACCATGATATTTAGTATTCTTAAAGTGTTTACTTGGTGCCAAGTAATGTGCTAACAAACTTGCATAAACCATTCAATTTAATTCATAAAACATGTCTGTGAGAGATAGTCTTAATATACCTGCTTTACTAATCATCCAATAAATTATGGGTTAGAGAGAGTGAGATTTGCCAAGGGTCACATAGGTAGTGAATGTTCGTGCTATGCAAACCCAGATCTTCTGACTTCAAAGCTTATTTTCTTGACCACCCTTCTACATTACTTTATTTCCTTAATTACTATAAGTTGTAAATTCACGTTAAAATCTGTTTTATTCATCTTACATCTATGCTTACCATCTTCATATCAGTTACATAAAACCTATCTCTGAACATTTTTAAAAAAATATTTGTTCAGGGGGTGCCTGCGTGGCTCAGGTGGTTAAGCCACTGCCTTTGGCTCAGGTCACGATCCTGGAGTTCCAGGATCGAGTCCCACATCAGTCTCCCAGCTCTGTGGGGAGTCTGCTTCTCCCTCTGACCTTCTCCCCTCTCATGCTCTCTCTCTCTTCCTCTCTCAAATAAATAAATAAAATCTTAAAAAAAAATTGTTCAGGACAAGATTCTTCTTTTGCTGGTCTAGTGCCTCAAACTGCAACACAGGGTCAGGTTTACTTCAGTGTTTTGGAGGTTTCTGCTATTTTCCTTCTTACAAGGCCACTCTCTCAAAGGACCTCCAAACCCTCACTGGTTGTAGGCAGAAGGGATTTGAGGTCAAACATAGGACCACAGATCCTGGGGAGGCCTAACAGCTCTATTTCCAGTGTTGCAGTCTGGTACATTTTGCTTTTTCTGTCAATTTTAAATGGCAGGAAGCCCTGACCTAATTGAAGAAGTGGTACTGATTCTTTTCAACAGAAATGTTTTTACTTTCTCCAACTAAATGTGAACCAAATGAGGGAAAAAAAATAGCAAGAGTATTCTTATTAATTCAGTGTGGCTTTTTATCATTTATAAAATAATTTGGGGTGAGGGAGAAGAAGAAGCAAAAATAATGAAATATCAAATAAGTATCAACCGAAGCCTAGAATAAAGTGGTCTTTTTAAATGTCTTTGCATAGCTTAGATATGGGTGCTGCAAGTACATTTTAACATGTAGGAAGCCCAGTTATCAATCTGCAACAATAATGTACAGGTTGCAGTTAAACATGATGCCACCTACATTTATTTATATATACAGTTGGATATTAAAATGGAATTTTTACACTCACTAAACTAGTCCCCCTTTTCTAATACTCCTATTTATCATACAGACCATCTTGCTAATGAACTATATGAGCACATCCAGAGGGCTATACCTTCTATTCTAGTTGGTACTGAAATAATAGCTCAGTGGGAAAAAGAATTGTGATTTAAGTAAAAGAGCACTTTTTGTACTTTCACCTAGACACCTTTGTCATCTGGGTTACTTAGACAAATTCTTTTTTCCCATACTAGCAGGCTAGTTTGACATCTCAGCATAGTGAGAAACAGAGTATGTATAATAGAAATAAAATCAAAATTTTCTCATATTTGTGTCATAAATATTTGGCACTCTAGAGGGATTTAAAGATTGTCTGCCCCAACCAATTTGACAGATCAAAGATGATATAATTTTTCCTGTGATCTTTGTAGAAGTAGAACTCAGGTTAGCATGGTACAGTGATTGTCATGCATGGATATATATCTGAAGTTACTGGTATGTAACAGCTTCATGACCACTGATATATTGCTGAACTTTTCTGAACCTTATTTTCTGAAGTTTTAAGATGAGGTAATGTTAGAGGCACCTGGGTGGCACAGAAGATTAAATGACCGACCTTGGTTTTAGCTCAGGTCGTGATATCAGGGTCGTGAAATCAAGCCCCACATGGGGCTTCATGCTCAGCGCAGAGTCTGCTTCAGATTCTCTCCTTCTGCTCCTCTCACTCATGGTCTCACTCTCTAAAATAAATAAATAAATATTTTAAAAAAATAAATAAAATGAAGCAATGCTGCCTCATTCGCTGATTGTGGCGTTATATGGGAAAACAAATGCGAATCACATAGTCTTTTTGTATACACCTAGTAGGGGCCCAATGAAAGCCACTTTCCTTCTCTCTCTTCTATCTCAATACAAATTCACTATTTTTCAAGCACTATAGTACACTCTTAACAGCATATTCATATAGCACAACGATTCTATTATCCCTATTACACATTAGATTTAACTGAAACATAAAACCCCCAGTTATTAGACAAGATACCACGACAAGCTGGCTTACATGCCAGGCTTAATCCTAGGCCCATACTCATCTCTAAGGTGCTCTGAGAAGAATGCTTCTCACTATACCTGCCTTAAGCACTGAGTATTTTTTTTTAAGATTTTATTTATTTATTTGACAGAGAGAGATCACAAGTAGGCAGACAGGCAGGCAGAGAGAGAAGGGGAAGCAGGCTCCCCGCCGAGCAGAGA